TCTGCTGGGTATAACCTTGGCTGGCAGTGAGGATATTTCAAAGCCCATAACCATTAGTGGTATTGTTGAAGGTAAGATTTGCAAAGTCACTTTTCTAATGAAAAAAATCAAAGGATTTCTGGGACTGTTACCACCAGGTCTATAGAAAAAATATCCACAGAGCCCATGTCTGATATTTTTTCTATAGAAAAAATTTCAAAGATATTCTACAGACCCAGATATTTTGTCTATAACAGTGAACCGATCGGATATTTTTTATAAAAAAAAATTACAGACCCTTACGGTTGATATTTTTCCTATACAAAAAATTCCACAGACCCCAGACCGGTGATTTTTTTCTATAGAAAAAATTCCACAGACCCCAGGTCGGTGATTTTTTCTACCACAGGTTGGTGACCAGAGGTTGGTGATTTTTTCTATAGAAAAAATTCCACAGACCACAGGTCGGTGATTTTTTCTATAGAAAAAATTCCAAAGACCCCAGGTCGGTGATTTTTTCTATAGAAAAAATTCCACAGACCCCAGGTCGGTGATTTTTTCTATAGAAAAAATTCCACAGACCCCAGGTCGGTGATTTTTTCTATAGAAAAAATTCCACAGACCCCAGGTCGGTGATTTTTTCTATAGAAAAAATTCCACAGACCCCAGGTCGGTGATTTTTTCTATAGAAAAAATTCCACAGACCCCAGGTCGGTGATTTTTTCTATAGAAAAAATTCCACAGACCCCAGGTCGGTGATTTTTTCTATAGAAAAAATTCCACAGACCCTAGTTCTGATATATTTTCTATAGAAAAAATTCCACAGACTCTAGGTCTGATATTTGTTCTATAGAAAAAATTCCACAGACCTTAGGTCTGATATTTGTTCTATAGAAAAAATTCCACAGACCCTAGGTCTGATATTTGTTCTATAGAAAAAATTACACAGACCCTAGGTCTGATATTTTTCTATAGAAAAAATTCCACAGACCCTAGGTCTGATATTTTTTCTATAAAAAAAATTCCACAGACCCTAGGTCTGATATTTTTTCTATAAAAAAAAATTCCACAGACCCTAGGTCTGATATTTTTTCTATAAAAAAAAAATTCCACAGACCCTAGGTCTGATATTTTTTCTATAGAAAAAATTCCACAGACCCTAGGTCTGATATTTTTTCTATAGAAAAAATTCCACAGACCCTAGGTCTGATATTTTTTCTATAGAAAAAATTCCACAGACCCTAGGTCTGATATTTTTTCTATAGAAAAAAATCTCATACCACCAGGTCTGATATTTTTCTATAGAAAAAATTCTCAGACCCTAGGTCTGATATTTTTTCTATAGAAAAAATTCCACAGACCCTAGGTCTGATATTTTTTCTATAGAAAAAATTCCACAGACCCTAGGTCTGATATTTTTTCTATAAAAAAAAATCCACAGACCCTAGGTCTGATATTTTTTCTATAGAAAAAATTCCACAGACCCTAAGTCTGATATTTTTTTTCTATAGAAAAAATTCCACAGACCCTAAGTCTGATATTTTTTTTCTATAGAAAAAATTCCACAGACCCTAAGTCTGATATTTTTTTTCTATAGAAAAAATTCCACAGACCCTAAGTCTGATATTTTTTTTTCTATAGAACCAATGTCACAGATCCCAGGTTAATATTTTTTTATAGAAAAAAATTCCACAGAACCCATTCCTCGGTGGTTGTTATAGAAAAAATTCGACAGACCCCAGGTCGGTAATTTTTTTTCTATATAAAAAAATATGGCCTTTTTTGTAGTAAAAAATTAACAGCTCCCTCTGGGACTGTTGGCCTTTTTTCTATAGAAAAAATTCAACAGGACCCTGGACGACTATTAGCCTTTTTCTGCTTTTTTCTATAGAAAAATTCAACAGGAACCTCGAACACTGTTGGTATCTTTTCTGTAGAAAAATTCAACAGGACCCTGCGGGACTTGGTGTATACCTACTCGTCCTGCCTATATGTTATATTACTTCTTATATTCTTTTTTTAATTCCCAAATATGTTTTTCTTCTCTAGGTGGCATTGCCCACAAAAATGGACAAATCCTTGTTGGCGATCAACTATTGGCCATCAATGCTGAATCGGTGCAAGGTATGCCACTGTCACATGCCACAAATCTGCTGCAAAATCTTGGTGATATTGTTGATTTGAAAATTTTGCGGATGCATGATGTTCAAAATAGTTATGGTGCAACACTGGAAACAAATAATATGCCACAACCCCAAGCCATATACGCCAAAGTGCAACGAAGACCCAGAAGTCCTTCGACAAATACCGATAATGGTTCCAACAGTGGTTCCAGTAGCGGCAAGGCTGAAAAACAAAGAATATTCCATGTTACACTTTTCAAAGATAAGGTGTATGATGATTATGGCTTTTCCGTATCGGATGGTCTCTATGAACGTGGTGTGTTCATAAATCGTATACGTTCGGGTGGACCGGCAGATAAATGTGGAATGCTAAAGCCATTCGATAGAATTATGCAGGTATGTTGGAAGTGGGATTTATTTGTCGTGGAAAATAATTAAAAATTTTGTTTTTCTTTTTCCAGGTTAATGAAATGAAAACTCAAGATTTCGATTGCTGCCTCACAGTTCCATTGATTGCTGCCGCTGGCGATAAAATTGAAATGATCATCCAAAGAACGGAATAGAGGAATATTTGGTTTGCTGTAAACTGCCATAGCAGTAGTGCCTTGTTTTGCGAATAGTTTTTCCTTATAAGTGGTCGATTTTTTACACTTATTGCTATTACTACTACAACTACATGTATACAATTTTTACATATACATACTTACACATAGTTTTTTTTAGAATTTAAGACGAATTTAAAATAATAATTTTATATAGTTTGTAAGTATAACATGGATTATCCTACGGCCCTTTATTATAAGGAGATAAATATATTCTAAGCCAATGAATTGAAAATAATATGAAGGATTTTTATACGTAGGTATTGAACACAATTTTTCAAAAAAATGAGGACTTTGTTCCAGCTGTCTGAAGAGCTTGCCCATGAAGGGATCACTTTGTTGGAAAAAAACTATTGAAAATAATACATCACTCCCATACATTTTTAAAATCTCAGCCCTATGGCTACGGGGGGTAGATACCCTTTGATACTGCAAAGTATTGGCTCATCGAAATATTGGACCCTCAAATCCCTTTCATATTCGCACCTATGTCTGACCGGCTGGTGTGCACATTAACTCTCGAAGGGAGTAGCCGATTTCATACAAACGTTGAAGACCGTAATATTTCTTCCAAACTTAAGCCTAACTCGAAAATGGGGAATATTAATCCACTCTCTAGTACCTCCCCCAGAAAGGGTTTAAAATCCACCATCAGGCAAATTATTCAATTCCGATTTGATCCTAACTTTGCAGAACCTATTATCTTTATCAAGTCTAAATCATCTATGGCTAAGGAAGGTAGATACACTTTGATACTGCAAAAAATTGTCTCATCGAAATATTGGACCCCAAATCCCTTTCATACATACGTGCGATATTCGCACGTCTGTCTGAACGTCCGGTGTGCACGTTAACTCTCGAAAGGAGTAACCGATTTCAAATAAACGTTGAAGACCATAATATTTCTTCCAAACTTAAGCCAAGCTCGAAAACGGGAAATATCGGTCCACTCCTTCTAGTACCTCCCCTAGAAAGGTTACAAATGTTCAATAGTTTAAAATCCACAATCAGGAAAATTATTCAATTCTGATTTGATCCTAACTTTGCAGAACCTATTATCTTTAACAAGCCTAGATCAAGTCTGAAGATGGGACCAATTGTTCCACTCCTTCTTGTACCTCCCCCACAAAGGATTCAAAATGTTATATATTTTAAAGTTCAATATTAGGCGAAAAGAATGTCCGATTTGAACTAAACTTTGCACATGCTATTATTTTTATCACACATAGATCAAATCCGAAGATGGGACTCATTGGTGGCCCACTCCTTCTGGTACCTTCCCCACAATGGCTCACAATTCTCAATATTTCAAAATTCAATATTAGGCGAAAGGAATGTCCGTCAATGTCCGAATTTAAGTCAAACGTTAAGCGAACGAAATTGTAAACAAAGTACAGGTCGCATTTTTGATTCGAATTGGATGAAATTTTACACAGCTCATTTATTTGGCCCAAGGACGAACCCTATTGAAATTGGGAAAATACGGTTCAGATTTAGATATAGCTCCCATATATATTTTCGTCCAATTTTATGTAAATGGTGCACCAAAGTCCCTATATATCCTTCGATTTGCACGAAATTTGGTACAGCGTACTGAATTAAGTCTAGAATAATGTGTGTTAAATTTCGTGAAAATCGGATCAGATTTAGATATAGCTCCCATATATATTTTCGTCCGATTTTATGTAAATGGCTCCCCAATGTCCCTATATATCCTTCGATTTGCACGAAATTTGGATTTGTAAGTAAATGAAGAACTCAAAATGTGGCTGAATGCACAAAACATTCTGAAGTAAGTGTAACCTGACATGTGACAAGTTTCGATTAAACCGGCTTACATTTCGATGTTTTGCTTTAAATTTATTTACATAATTTGTCCCCATTAGTATAGGTTGCAGAATGACATGTTTAATTTTATGTTAATGGTCCTTCAAAAAGGCGACGTCTGGTGAAGGGTATCATATAGTCGGCCCGTCCGATTTTACTACTTTTCTTACTGGTTTTTAATTTGGCTTAGAATAAAATAAAATATATTTTTTAAATATTCATTGGAAATACAATATAATCAACTAAACCAAACTCCTCCACATACACTTAAATGCCAAAAATTTTACTTAAAAGTATACCTAGTATAATTAGTATTTAAAAAGAAATATAAAGAATATAATATAATATAAGAATATTTTGCTATACCAATCATTACATACACGCACAAACACACATTTTTACAAAAAAAAATAAATAAAAACACACCACCACAATACCTTAAAAAGCCCAAAGAGATTTATTTCCATTGTAATAATTTTTACATAGTTCTAGTAAAAAGAAATAAATATTTACTATTTTTTAAAAATAAATATTATATAAAACAATTAAGAAGTATTTTTTTCGAACCATTAATAATCCATAACAAAAACTATAGAATATATAGATGACAATAACTTAAATATATTTGTATATGAGCTGAATTTGACAAGTGCTTCGGACCAAAATTGTAATACATAATAATAATAATAAAAAAAGAAGGAAAACAGTTATTAAGTTTGTAAAAAATCAAAAGTTTTAATGAATATGCTAAAAAAGAATAATTAATGGTGTTTTTGCTTTAATTTTACAAATATACAAAATAAAAAAATAATAAAATTTAGATTAGTAAACAAAAAAAAGATGTGGCGTTTTAATGAAACAATTTAAATAAGAAATAAAATTTTCTTATCGTTAGCTAAAATGCAAAAAGGCGTAACTAACAAAAGCATAATTGTGTAGGAGAAGCAAAAAACAGTTTTGAATGAAAACTATAAACATGTCATGTGAAATGAAAAAGTATGCCCGGCAGGGTGATATTGCATATGACGAATAATAGACTATAATTTTTTTAACAAATTTAGTTATTTAGTTTAATGGCAGTCATAACAATTAAGTAAAAACGTGAATTTTTTGTTAGTTACACCTTTTTGCATTTATCAAATAAACCCACTTGTAGTTACGTCTTTTTGTTTTTTGTTAATAGAAGCTCCTTTTTTGACCTCAGACGTGTAAAACTTTGTCAACACATGTAGTTTATTGACATTCACAATATTCATTCAAAAATTCAATTTTCAATTTTTTGTTAGTTACGCCTTTTTGCATTTTAGCTGACGTTATATTCTCAAATTTAAATGACAAAAAACTACAATCAAGTAAAATGTCAAATACAGAAAAACAAGTAACAAAAATCCAAAAGTATACAATTGTATATTGTATTATACCGAAAATAAATAAGGTGCGAATATTTTAAGATCGCGTCTTCAGCGCCATCTATTGATGGACATGATTCAAATTTTTCAAATTAGTTTTTGAGCCCAATCTTCATAATGTACAACTTTTGAACAGATAATCGCTTTTCATCAAAATGGTGTCATATAGAAGAATAAATAATCTTCTATACTATGACCTGCAATAAATTCTTATAGCACAAATCTCAAATTGGACGGCCCTTTATATGGGTGGGCCTATAATGTTTAGTTTTTGCACAGATATATGCCGAAATATGAATTGACAGATGTCTCGGTTCGATAATGCGGCTATAATATTAAATATACCTAAAAGAGGGCAGCTATGTAAAAATTATGTCCAAATATTGAAAATATTCTTACAGGTTTTTGAACTCTGGACGAGGAGCATCAATCTGATTACAAAGGGGGGGGAGGGTGGATATTTTTATGAAAGTCATTTCGGTTGAAATATTTAGATATAACTATCAGAATAAAAACTAGAAAGGAAAGTAGTAAAGTCGGACTGGGCCTACATATGTATCCTTAAAATTTGCAACCTATGCTATTTAATTTCATTCGGGCAGATTTAGAGTCGTCAGTGTACCATGGAACAAATTTATAAAAAAACGATTTATAGCAAAATTGATAAAAGCCATTCGGTACGTCGCACTGTCAAAAAAATTAATCTCAAGCAGACAGCCGTTCGAAATACATATGGAAGCTATGTCTGCATCTGCACCAATTACAACAAAACCCAGTAACGTCATTCAAGTCTCAATTTGATACGTTTCGTGTTAATCGGACAAACATTTGGAGTTTGGTGCACCATTTATGTAAAATCGGACGAAAATATATATGGGAGCTGGATCTAAATCTGAATGGATCTTCACGAAACTTAGCATACGTCGTTCTAGACTTAATTCAGTACGCTACGCTAAATTTCGTGCAAATCGAAAAATGTATTCGGACTTTGGTGCACCATTTACATTAAATCTGACGAAATATATATGTGGGAGCTATATCGAAATCTGAACCGATTTTCAGGAAACTTAACGCACATCATTCCATTACGCTGTGCCAAATTTCGTGCAAATCGAGAGATATATAGGGACTTCGGTGCACCACTTATATTAAATCGGACGAATTAAATCTGAACCGATTTTTCCAATTTCGTCCTTAGGCCAAACAAATGAGCTATGCCAAATTTCATCCAATTCTGATCAAAATGCGACCTGTACTTTGTTTACAATTTAACATGGACAGACGGACGGACATGCATAAATCGACTCAGAAAGTGATTTTTTGCATATTCTCAAAAGGAACTATGGGTCTATAGATAATTTGTTCTTAAAAAAAAAATAATCCAGAAAAATGTTTATATATGAAGATAAGATAATTTTTTCTTTCTAATATTTTTTCTATACAAGAAAATTATCAATTATTATTCTATAGAAAAAATATTCGGTTGGGTTTTTCATCTCTTGAAATACTTAGGAATAAAATGAGGCAGATCTAGTGTTATATAATTATATTTACTTTTATTAAAAAAAAATTATTCTGACCGTATTTAAACTCTGGTAAACCGAAATGTGAATTGACAGATGCCTCGGTTCGATAATGCGGCTATAACCATAAATATACCTAAAACATGACCAAATATTGAAAATATTCTGGAAGACGATTACAACAAAAGGGAGGATGATGGAT